TAAAAAAAATATTAATATAAATAAATAAATGTAAACGGTTTTTTAATCGTTCGGAAACCCGTGATCACCCTCTGTATTTCGGAAATCAAAAAGTGACAACTTTAATCCGAATATTAATATCAATATGGACTCGATCCAAATTAATATGGTTAACCTACCTCATACTAATTTATTAACGAAAAAAAAAATTGAAAACCACATGATTGATTAGTTGTCTCTAATTATTTCTACCATCTATATCTTATCAAATTTTGAGTCGCACTGGGTACTCTTGCTAACCCTACTTTTTGTTTTCTATTGCAGATCTCTTCCAAAAGTTATTTCTCCGGGTAAAGGGTTCTTTATGTAGTTGAGGAACTCTGATATTAATATTAATATATTTTATATTTAGGGTTCAACCACAGTTGGTTTGGTTCAGGGTTGAGTCAGCTGATTAACATCCCTAACTATTTTAAGAAATACTTTTGTGTGACTGCAATTTTGAGCCTTTTTGCAACCTTTAGTGTAACACGAATCCTCAATCTGACTTTGACTTGATCTGATTATTTCCCTCATGCCTTTAGTTTTTTATCAAAAATGCCAAACAAAATAACCATTTTCTTAATTATTCTTACCATAATTACCGCACTCTTGTATGAATTCCTTTCTTTTATTGGATTGTTTCGTGAAACACCCAAAGCCTATTCTGGTGACAGGTGTAGAAAAATAGATGGTTTGATTAATAAATAAATTGTGATAATTTGTTATAATTACTTTGAAGGAAATAAAAAAGTATATAAATTATTTTAATTGAAAGAAAAAGGTATAGAAGCTTGTGAAGATATTGTAATTCATCATGAAAGTGGATATGCTTTTATGGCTTGTGGAAATTCGGAACTTAGAAGAACTCATTGGTTTCCAGGATCTGGAGTTTTTAAAAATAAAAGTATTCAATATAGAGAAACAGTTTTCTCCTACAACATTGATGTATGTATAAGAATATATATTTCTATTATTAGATAACTTTAACTAAAATTACTTTCTCTTTATTTCCCCTCCTTCTTCCTTGCTATTTTCTCCTCCTATAATATGATCAGTCAGAAACTTTATTACCAATTAATTTTAAAAATTACCCTGATGATGAAGATGTAGTTCTTCATGGATTTGGAATTCATCAAGATCCAGCTGATCATAATGTTTTATACCTATTTCTTATTAATCATAAACGATCAGGAAGTGTGGTTGAGATTTTTAGTCATATAATCGGGTCACAAGAATTACATTATATAGAAACCATTAAAGACGATCTGATTAATTCACCAAACAATGTTTTCCCTGTTTCTAAAAACGAATTCTATGTTACAAATGTTCATTACTCCAAAAATCCATTTATGGTACAATTTGAATGTTAGTTTTTTTTTAATAGAGTGATTAATTATAATTATTAATGAAAATATTGTCTAACTCTATCCCTTATATATATGTAGTCATAACACGTCGTCCATGGTCAAATGTTGCGTTTTATTCTGGAGTTAATAATAAAACAGAAATAGCTGCAGATAAAATATGTTATCCTAATGGAATAGATGGTAACTGGGATAATTCACGTATTTACCTGTCAACAAGTTCTGGCAAATTTTTTGTATTTGAACGAAACCATGATAACAAACTAAAATTACTTGATGATATTGAAATCGGTTTTGGGGATAATATTAGTGTCGATGATATTACTGGTGAAATTTATTTAGCTAGTAAGTGTATAACTTATTAAATATATATATATGTTGATTGGTTTTTTCTAAATTAATATTTGTATATATAAATTTTTTTTTACTTCCAAATAATAAAGCATTTCCAAAGATTATGCCAATAGTTCACTTCTCCAAAGGTCATTATGAAACGCATATACCAACTATAATCTTGAAAATTAGCAACAATACAAATGAAGATAAATCCAATGGTATAAAATATTCTAAAGAAATTGTGTTTCAAGATGATGGAAGCTTTTTCAGTTTCGTTACAGTTGCAGCTGTTGATAGAAAAAGAAATGTGTTGTTATTGGGTTCTATTTATAGTAAAGGGGTTGTTAGGTGCAAATTGGAATATTAATATATACATTAATGTTACCTGGGAAAAATAATTATATTCCGTTTTTTTTAGTATAAATAATAATAATAAAGTTATCATGTATTCTATTAAAATTGTATATCGATCAAATTACTTGTAAATATTCTGAATTAATGATTCCTTTTCATTTATTTTCTGCCGACTGAATGATCTCTATAATTTCTTCAACACTACTTCTATTGAATACTAACATCTTTTTCATTGATCCAGAGTAATGTTCCTATTCGAATATCAGAAATCGAAATGATAATATTGGCGTCAATAATTTATATTCATAAATACTTTCAAGTGTCGAATATTTGTAATACTTAAATTGATAAATTTTCTAATAAAAATGTCTAGTAAATGATGGCATTGTTTTAATTAATGAAGAAGAAACAAATTCTAATTTTTCGTCAGACTCCATTACCAATGGTAAATTATGTAGGTCACAAATACAAAACTTTGACGAAGCATAGAAGACCTAGAGAATGCTATATATATGTTCCTACAGAACCGTTATTTACCATATTATACCAAAGCGTGACAAATTAAAGCTATAAAAGTTATCGTTTTTAAAAAGTAATATGAGGCAGAGTTGGCATTCCCATTGAACTGGACCATCGGACATAATAATTTTACCATAAAAATTTAAAAAAAATTCCATATAAATATTTCGAAAACCTTGACAATTGTTTATTATTAGTATTAGTCTTGCATGTTTTTTGAAAATCTTATTTATTTTTGTCAAACGCACTAACCTACAATTTTTCAAAAAAGGAAATCTTTTACAGTCCGTTTTATAGCTATGGAATATGCAAATTGCATATTGCAAAGGCTTGTCTTTGAATTATTCGTAAAGGGAAGGATGAGAGCAAAATTGAAATACGAAACATTGCGGTGAACAAAATTTTTTTTGTGTTGACACAATTTGTCAAATTAGTGATGTTAACCGGCAAGCCGAATATAATAGTAGTAATAATAATAATATTATTATTATTATCATTATTATTATATGAAAATCCGTTAAATCCGCTTAAGCGTGATAAAATAATTATTATTGTAGAAAATTTGGTTTTGAAAATTTATCCGTTAAATATGTAAATCCACCAAACCAAGGCTTACTGCATTGACGTTTATTATTTTAGAACTAGCCCATAATTTAAGCCTAATTTCACCCATAAAAATTTTCTGGTAAAATTGGAGAGACTTTAAACCGCGGACGAGACAATTCAATTAAACAAAAAAAGAATTAAATTATAAAAATCAAATTTAATAAATTAATAATCGATTTTTATTATTATAAGTGATAATAATCTTAAATTTAAAGCTTTTGCTTATTCATTTTTATTATGGAGAATTTTAGATAAACAACAAAATAAGAAAAAAACTATACTGACATATCTAATATATAAAATCAATATTTGGCCATAACTTTGATCATTGGTTATGAAAACTTGGTCGGTTTAATTGGTCAACTTCAATTTCGTGAAATGTGACGAAATTAACAACGGTTTGACGAAATAATTGCCCGCTCTGCAAAGTATTTTGCCAACCATTCTTAGAACAGATAATAAAAAGAAACCAAATCTATACCATATACATGATTACATGGAAATTATTACATGGATAAAATTCAACCAATTTTTATTTTATGATTTCTTTTAAGAACCAAAAATTTATATTGGATAAAGTTTTAACTTAA